GTTTTTGTCATTGTCACTTGGACGACTTTTGCTCTCATTTACTGCTGAATATCTTCTCTACTTAATTTCGTTCACGCATTCAAAAACCTAGGCAACTAAAATAGTTAATTCCCGCAGTAAGCCATTTTTGGATTGATAAGATTAATCCAGAAGTGGTTGACCAATAAAAACATTAATCAAGGAGCGTGAATGGGTTTGAGGATTGCGCCGTAGAAGGCTCTTTACTCCTTGAAGGTTGCAGTGGAGTCATCGGCTGCAGAATAGGCACACTTCCTAATTCGCGGTGAAGACCATTATGTTGTAGACCCAACCACTGTTAAGTTGGTAGTCACAACTATCACCACCCTTTCATCTGCCTGTGCATCTCTAATTAAGGTCATTCTCAATGTTGTAATGCTGATATTGAATAATCCTGTTGAGTGACGAGCGATTCGTCCCTTCAAAAATGTAAAAAATGTTTTGTTGAGGTTTATGTTATGTGGAATTGCCTCCTTGACATGCGGTGGATCTACTGGCATGGATTTATAGAAACCATTGCCTACAAACTCTTTTGAGAATAAAGTCTTTTCTAGTCATCGTGAGGTGCTTCATGCAAGGCAGCCTAAAAGTCTTAGTCTTAGTTGCAGCCAGCACAAAGGCAAATGACTTTCTGTAATCAAATATGGTGTAAATGAAAGTGGCGGCGGAAGCTTGACCAACAGCGGGAGTGCTTTTCGTATGGGACCAGTAACAAACAGGGACAATGGCGTGGAGTTGGGTGACGTGGTTGACGCTTTCGCTAACATTTTTAGACGGAAGGTAGCAAGTCAATTTTAATATTCTCATTTTTTTACTGCACCAACCTTTGCAATACCCAAATAAAGCATTCAAACTCTAGTTGGCACCACAGAACGGTCCACCATGCCTCCCAAATTTCCTTGTCTTATTCTCGGTTTGCAAAACAATTTAAATCTACCTCAACAACCAGCATAACAAGCCAAAGCAAAGTAATGCATGGGCCTTTAAGCTTAAGTTTTGCTTACTGCTGGTACTGATTGATAACTCTACAGATTACCTACCACTTTATTCACCTACACAACATCAAGGATAGTCATACCATACCTAAAGAAAAGAGTCTTCTCCCATCATCACTACCCGATGCTAGTAGTCTGCTCTAAAGGCAGCCACATCTACAAATGGCATTATACACTTATAAATAGACAATGGCATCAGTTTTTCATACATTTATCTCTAATTCTGCATTTTTCCTGCCTTGGGTCACAATTGATTTAGTCACAAATGGAGCCACTCAGAATCCATTTGATTTTGGATATGTAAAGCTGGAGAAAATAACTATAAGGACCACGGTCTGTTAACTTTTAAGGTCTGAAAAGTCTACAATTTATGAAATATTAAAAAAGCTCTTAATAAACTTGCTACCTTGAATGAGGTACTGTAGGTTTTAAGAAGACTGTATAGATGTGCAAATGGAATTCACTGCGAACATGGAGGCATTGTACGTCCAATATTATTAGCGAAAGCATTAACCAATGCAGATGAGTGTAAGAAAACGTGTGTACGTGAAGGTGCTTATCAGTAGCACCACCTAAACAGAGAGAAAATACGTAACAAAGTAAAATTTAATTTAAATGGAATAATTATTTGGTCCCGATTGCAACACTTAAAACTCGTTATCGTTTATTAAAAAAGAGGAGTAAGTGATAAATTGGTAGGGCCTAAATTTGGCACAGCCTAGGGTAAACAAAAAGTCCAAACATAAGTGAGTGATGTAGTGAGGGAGAAATTTGCTCATTTGTACTTGATCATTATGTATTGGCCGCCCCAGATAATTTTATAGCTTTCACTTTTCAAAGAATTAATCCACCAAAACTGCTCCGTATCAACTTCTGTTTTGTGCAGTCTAGTTGTAATCCATGAATAAGTAGGTACTGTACGGCAAATACAGCTTAGGAATTTAGCCAGGAGTCCAAATATTTAATGCTATGATAATTAGTGGAAAGGCAGTTGACGAAAATGAAGAAAAATTGCCATGACTATACGAGAAGGCGTGCGAGAGCATCGGTTAAAATGGCGGTCTGGTGTACATCTACTGATTCGCGATTTGAAAGTCATCTGACTATGGCGGAGAGCAAATACGCGTGCAATCTTTTAAAGAAATTAAAAACCTATATTCTACAAAACGTACTGCACACAGCAGGCAATTCTGTTTGCAACCAATACATGTTTCATAATTTGCAAGCAGTATCGACACCTTAGAAAAATCTTCATCTATGACTAGTTTTTTATCGCCAAAGGACAGCGACAGCAAATCTCTACTCTGTTTCGATTTTTGTTATACGAGAAAAGGCGTCCATCCTTTGGTGGTAACAACTGCTGCATTCATTGCCTGACCTTAAACTTGATGTGAGCAGTCGCGTATATAAATTTTATCGAAAAATGACACAAACCAGGAAATAGAGTGAGGAAGAGCACAATTTTTGAAATGATTAGAGAGTTAGCTATTAGCAGGAGACCTCTAAATATCAAACAGTGATGATCTCTGGGGTTGAAGGCATGCTCATCAACTCTTTCTTAATTGGTGCCAATGCACATGATCAAAACCTTGCTGTCATCTACAACCTCGTGCTTGACCAACTTACCAGTCGAAATAATCAACTTAGTTTTTGTCCGTGAGTTTACGAATTAGTTCAAGATCGACACCTTTAGAGGGAATACCCGTGTACATGCACCCTAGGCGCAACGCCTTGTGGTTTCAGATGTCGCAGTTCTGCTTATTCATCCTCCTCCTTTTCTTCCTTGAACCGTTCACCTTGCGCACCAGTTAGAGGACAATCTGAGCCACCTTCTCACCTTTACGTCTTTAAATGAGAATGTGCATGCTATATGTCATCGTCCTAATGTTATTTTATCAACACATTCTTAGTCACTTTAACATTATAAGGGTTGATTACTTTTTGCAGCTCTTCAGATGTGAAATTTAACTTAAATTAGCGAAGCAAACATTTTTTGGCGACTTTTAATTATTTTACAAATACACTACTTTTTGCTAGGATTCGCATATTTTCTGGTACACAATAACCTATTCGCTTGAAAAAAACGTGCTGGGTTTTTATTACAATCAGATGATTATCAAACAGCGGTTCAGCAAATTTACACCTAGTCTAGAGTCATTCAATTGTGCTCGCATGACCACCGACTCAGAATCAGCTGACTTTAACATCTGCATCTAGTGGGTGATGCAGGTCATAATGGATGCATTTTTCATTTCTAAAGAGCATTTAGATGCAAATCAGTTAATCAAATTAGTAAATACGTGGATATGAGTACTTTTTGTAGCATTGGAGCTTGACCTCTGCTAGGATGCACGTTTAGACAATTAGGCTACTTTTGAAAATATTCATGCCTTAGAATTTAAGCATTTGGCTAAATCTGGTGAAGAGCGAATAATTTTGATAGTGAAAACCTTTGTTACCACCAAATGCTTTACCTCGTTATATCAAACTTCGTGTTGAATAAAGAGGTGCCAAATCTGCAGAGGAAGCAAACAACTATTTTAGCTCAAATCTCTATCCCATAGGCTTGCCTTAAAAATATATTAGTTCCCTAGGAGTTAATTGGGTCCTATTTTGTTATCGACATTTAACCGGCTACTGCGCATGAGAGTAGATTGGTGATTTATTGTTTTTGCATGTCTTATTAAACGACACTGACAAAATATCCATTTGCGTTCTCCTTTAAAAGCTTTCTGGGTTTTGTAACGCAGGAGAGTGAGTGATTACTGCCTGAAAATAGGATAAAAATGAAACAAAATTCTTTGTACAAATAGCTTAAATTTGATTTTCCCCTTAATTATCAGGCTTGTTGACTATTGAGCGGACCGTCAAAGGGCGAAATTTAAAGGTTGCCATAGCTGACATGCACATTTTAGCTTTTATATAATTTAGACAGCAAAATAACAAATGGGAGCACTAAAAAGAAAACGAGTAGTAAGTTGGAGTTATTTGGGAATTGTAAAAGTTTAATCAAATGGATAGAAGTAATTCAAACCTTTTTTTTCAATTTCAATCTAATTGCACTATTAAATAAAGTGAAGATGGCATGACAATGCACTTGTTTTATAAACCACTGCTGAATTTCAGTGCACCACAAATGCAGCATCAAAGATCACGTTTTAAAGAATAATTTGGGACAAAGGATGAAACCGCAGATCTACCATTATTTGTAGACATGAAACTAACTAATAACCTAAGAATAAACACATTGGCAAGATGTTGAGGCTAACAATAACTAGTAGGGCTAAAAGGAAAGTGAAGTAGCAAATATACTGTCTAATTAAGACCAAAAAGTAAATTTTGCTCTCTATGCAACAATGTCCTCATATCAGTTATTCATATTAAAAAGCAAAAATTGTCGATCGACAGATATATACAGACGTAACTATAAAAATTAAAGATCGGCCACTCAAATTAGGATAGATTGTGTTATCTATAAATATGTTTAAAGAATACAGAGGTAAGTAGAGAGAATGACCTCACTTATGCTTGTACTATCAGTATCAACTACCCCTTCTTCATTCCTTTCCAGTCTCCCTTAATCCGTATTGGTTACTTTCAATCCCCCTTCAGCAGGATTAGCGATAGGATGGAGGATGTAGGTCTCTGAGGCTGCGGTTGTGCATTCTTCGTCCACAAAATAATCAGTCTGGACCCCATTGGAGTTGAGATAACTTTGAAGGCCTAAAAGTTCCATCAAATTTGCGGTATTTAAATGAAAAAGAACACCCACTTTTGACGATGATGCGTAAGATATCTGTCATGGTCCAGATTACACAAATTGCTAGGAATAGAAATCGTACTAGGTGGTTTAACAGGATTAGATATAGAAATGCAAGTAAGAATATTGTACAATAACAAACAAATGTCTGCATCTTGAGCAGGTAATTGCAAAAGCACAACTGAGTAATTGCGTCTTGATGTGCATGGTTCCATTTGCACTTTGAAAGTCACCTGGCCATTTGCTGTGCAAAACGCAAGTGGAATTTATACGGCGAAATTTTTAACTTTAGTCCAAGAAACGTACAAATCACGACAGTAAATTCTAATCGTATTTGTGGCGGAATGTAAAGCTGTCAGTTAGTGTTTGTTGCAGGAAGTGAAATTCAACGAAATTCGAGATTTGGTTGATTTTTAAGTGTAGCTCAGTGAAAACAGAAGAAATATTTACGATCCGAACCTCTAACGACATTATCTGATGCAGCCGCACAAAACTCATTCTTTAACGTAGACCCTGAATGGATAGTGTGCGATGCTTTCTATACATTCCATTTACAGCAGGATATATTATTTTGCAAAGAAAAAAACGACTCACCTATGTACTTGAACAGTGTGTGTGTGTGAGCTATCAAAATGGATTTGTTCAGCAGACGTTGTTTGCACTTTAGAGTAGCAGATTTTGTTCACATACACCGAAGGAATTCATTGCAACAACGGTCTACAAGAGCTGTTTTAAAACAGCATAGCGCGGTGGAATGCATCACATTTGTCTAATAGTGGTCATGTGAATAGTACAAACACTAGTCTCTTCTTTCAAGCCAACTGAAAGGATTATGTAGCATGTTCAGTATCCCTGGGAGAGTTAGATATACCAAAGCCGTTGATTAGCTTGCACACACAAGGTGCCGATTACAAAGTGAAGGGAAATGGTGGCGAGCAGGCTGCATTAGCTCCTCATAGCCGCGATGGCTCCCTTTCTTACGGTGTCAAGGCTGTCCCCCGCGTATCGCTTAACCAATCAAAAAGGACAAGCAAAAACAAACTTGACGCCTACTTC